ATCTTGACACTATTATAAAATATTGCTATTATCATGGATTTTCATGCATTGCATTGGTCGGGAACAAAATCATGTAAGAAGCTCATTTGGGATTCTGTCACTTTAACTGCAGTCAGAAGCAGCGCAGAGAAAGCCATTGTTCGTCCATTTTCCCTCAGACGCCGTGGTTTCCTGTTTTCCCGCAGGATTACCTGTCATTGGGCTCTTTTGCGGCGGCATTCGTATATTATATGCTTTCTTGCCCTGGGTTCAGCATTGATTAATTAATCCATTCCTAATTATCTCATTGAGAGCTTCGATCGACTCATTTCCTGTTGCTTTCGTCCTGTGTGCTGATCATGTTTCCCTCACCTGAGCACGTGTCACCCCAGTGCTGTAACTCTTGAAGGAAATATGAGACGTAATGAGGCGTGACCTCGTGAAAAATTAGCATAATGCAATTAACAGCAGTCTGACATAAAACATTTGCTTGTTTCTGGTGGGACTGACATTCATTCAAGATTCAAGGTGTTTGCCTGTGCGAAACTTGCTGTCGTGATGCTTGATGATGATGGTTTTAGTGTGGTTCTAGTCTTGGATTGACATTACTTAGGGCCACACACTGAAAAAATAAATAAATAAATAACAATGGTGTAGAAACAATTTTTCCTTAAAAATTGCTAGTAAATTTAACTGTTCATTACAAAGAAACTGCAGGTAACACGTCAAATTAAACATGAAATTTTGAAGTAGAAAGAGTGTTTTATTTCCGACTTAAACATTTTTAATTTTTAATTTATTTCTGGGGGTTTTTCACAGTGTATGAAATCAGCAATTTTTATGCATTTTACCTTGAATTTTTTCCCAAATTGTGTTTTCCAAATTCAATTTCCCAAGTTCTGACATGGAAGAGAAATTGTGTGGTATTCCTTAAAAAAAAGGGAAAGTTATTATTATTATTATTATTATCATCATCATCATCAGTACTCTCTATTGTACAATAGTAATACATTTCTGTCAGCTTTTATTTTGACAGGTCGTAGTGAAGACCTTTGTGTTTCTGTGTCTGTATCACATTTTGAATAATTGTACAATTCATCAACAATTTGCCAAATTCCGTGACATTATACTGTAAATTCTATTTTTATGACCGTAATTTGTGATTCCATCTGGGTTTTCCATATTACAGCAAACATAGGGGCCTAATTAATGAACACTGTTTTCCAAAACAAATCCAAATCTCTTCTGCTAGTATGTGCTACTGCTAGAGACAATCAATCGTTTTTGTAACAGCATGCTGGCATAGATCATTCTCATTTATGCATTATATAGTTTGTGCATTGTTTGAATCAGTGCATGTGGTCCGTCAAGTGTGCTTACTATGAAGTAGCGCTCTCTGTCCTCATTCAGACTGATAACTGATAACTCTCAGAGCAGATGAGGGTCAGGTCAAAGGTCAGGCACTCCATCTTGTTCCTATTGCAGTACAGATGGAGAAGCAGCAGGACTGCGTTTACTGCAGCGTTCGCATTGGGCCTCTGCTGGACCTGTTCCCTGTCCTGGAGCCATACTGCACGGCCTTAACTGAAGCCCAAAACAGCGTGCTCTGATTAATAATTTGACATTTAGCTGATGCTTTTTTATCCAGACAGACTTACACCCTGTCCCAACAAATCCAGGCATGATTTGTCTGTTCACACTGAAAGCAGAAAAGCTGTGTTGTGGTTAGAGATGCTCACATCTGGTTTGGAGTGTATTCTAAAAGTTTAAAATACAGTAACATTTTGAAATAGTATTTCAATTTCAAATAACTGTTTTCTAAGTGAATATATTTTAAAATTGAGTTTCTCACAATTTCGAGTTTACATCTCACAATTTTTTCCCCCACTATGGAATAAAAAAATTGAAAAAAAAAAGGTGATTGCAACTTTTTTTCTCACAATTCTGAATTCTGAGGAAAAAAGTCTGAATTGTTAGATTTTTAAAAAATCACAGTTACATAAATGAATGCATCTTTGCTGAATAAAAGTAATAACATCTTTTTAAAAACTTTAATAAAAGTGCCTTTGGGTTTCATTAGCAAACATGAATAGACTGCAACATATTTCTGGATGCCTTGCAAACTGGTTTTCTTGCATTGAAATATTTCCTGTTAAAACATATTGATATATGTATTCTTTTACATATTGTTGGGCCTGTGCAGTTCATGGCAATATTAATAAATAGATAGGCTATGCTTTGTAACACTTTAAGCCTTTATGTATAATGCATTATAAAGGTGTTCATGATGTACTTTGCAATGTGCAATGTATTTTCATAAATAATTGTAACTAAAGTTAAAATGCATTATAATATATGTTGATTACCTGATATATCTAAAATATTTTGTAATGTTTTAATGCATTATAATTTTTAAAGAAAATTTTTAAAAAAAAATGAATAATAAGTATAATAATATAAGCATAGTCACAATTATTCATGAGATCATACAATGCATTACAAGGTGCATTACAAAGCAAAATAATGCATTAAAATACTTTTACAATGCATTATATTTAAAGGCTAGGTTAAAAATGCTTTGTTAGTTTTAAACCATTGTGTTGTTGTTATTGGGAGTCCAAATGGCCTCAAAGCTACACTGTAAAAAATGATTGTGATTTTAACAGTAAAAGACTGTAAAATGCTACAGTAAAAACATGTTAACTGGTTAACAGTAAGTTTCCACATACTATATTCAGTGAATAAATGTAATTACATTTAATGTAATTTTACAGTAAAATACTGTTAAAAATACGTTTTTTGGAAGTGAAAAAGAAAAAGTCATTGTATAATTTACAGTGACAAACAGTAAATTGACACTCCCAGAATTCCCTGCATGACACTTCATATTTGATGTGGGGTTTTTTTATTGAAATAACATGTTTCTTATTAGTTTTTTCTTATCAGTTGTGTACATTAGGGTTTAATCTTACATCTAATGTTGTTAAATTAATGTTTATTGCATTATTTCAGTATCATGTGTGTCACCATGATGGGGTTTAGTGTTTGTGTGAATGACACTGTGCACCTTCTATATATATAAACGTATTACCCTCCTCAGCTCGTAGAAAAGCTGTTTGTGATGAACTTTGGTTCATCATGTGACTTTCTCATCACCACCAGTTTTTGGTGGTTATCAGTGCATTACAATAGTTCAAAACAGATATTAGTACTTCCATATGTTGGTTTATTAACGTTACATCAGTTAATGAAATACGGTATTTTATTGTGAATTTAAGTTAAGTCTGTAAAACCTAAAATGTTGCTACCATATTTTTTACGGTGAAGTTCTGGCAACCACAGCTGCCGGTATTTTACCGTATATGTCACAGATTTTTTTTTTTACAGTGTACAAGAAATGCACTAAATATCCATTTCTGCTTCATGGAGTCTTTAAAAATCTCAACTATGGTGCAAGATAGAAAGCATGTCTGTGCAAAGCATGTCCTGGACCTTACTGAGCTCCATCCGCTGGGATGGCCGACAAAGCAGGAAACATGTTCTCTCGTTTTCTTTCTCTCTTCTTCAGTATCTCGTGTCGTTCTCTGTCTTGCGCTGGCTGCATTAACATTCCTTTGAAGCCTGATTCCAGTGCAGATCATCATCTTCCTCAGCATCTTTATCTGTCTCTCCTGATCTGCTGTTTGAACTCTCTCTTTAGCTCAGAGTCGTAATGAAGGCTGCCTGTGTAATCCAATGCATTCTTTAAACCCAACATGAAACCAAAATGTACTTTCTTAATGCATATTTCTGTTCTTATTGTGAAGGATTCGGTGTATATCATGCCTGTAATGTTGCCCGTATGTTTCCTGAAGGGGGTTAACAGAATAAAACTGACCTCAGCACAGATCATGTGTGTTTGAGCTGAACACAAAAGCCAGCTTTTCCCTCTTTTTTTCCTTTTATGTGTTTTTTTTCTTTTTCTTTCTCTGGATCTTTTCTTTCATCATGTGTTGGTGCATTACCTCTCTAGGGACCGGCCTGGTTTGAAGAGCTCTTTGACTCTCTCACTCTTTTCCTTTTGCTTGTGTCACAATGATGACTCACAGACGATTACTAAACTCTCATTGGATGCAGCAGATGTGTGTGTGTGTGTGTGTGTGTGTGTGTGTGTTTTGTCGTTTTTATTTTATTTTAATAAAAAAATAATAACTCTGTGTCTGCTTTCTTTCTTTCTTCAGTTATTTAGTTAGTATGTTCTTAACTTACAAAATTAATCCATATTCACAATTCACCTGCTTATAAAATGTTTTTAATATGATTTTATTTGTTTCCTAAAATAATTTACTAAAACAATTTGTTAATTTGAGTTATTCTAATTATGTTTAGCTTGAAAAAAATATTTTGTTGGGTTGAAATATTTGTTTTTGAGTGTGATTTATCTATAGAGTAACTTTTAGAATTGAATACAAATTAAAATTCATTTCTGATGTAACAAAAAGCTTTTACATTTGAAAAGTTATTCTGATAACAAACCTTTTTTCTTTCATTTCAGTCTCTTAAATACATTTTGGTATCCTTTGACTGAAATATGGTGGGTTGTGTTGAAAAATCTGTCCATTCCAAAGATTTAATAATGTTTTTGAAAATGTCTCTTTATGCTCACCAAGGCTGCACTTGTTTGATCAAAACACAGTAAAATATTGTGAAATATTATTACAATTTAAAATGCCAGTTTTCTATGTGAATATATATTAAAATGTAATTTATTCCCGTGATCAAAGCTGTATTTTCAGCATCATTACTCCAGTCTTCAGTGTCACATGATCCTTCAGAAATCATTCTAATATGCTGATTTGCTGCTCTAGAAACTTTATTATTATTATCAATTTTGAAAACAGTGTGCTTCTTATTTTTGTGGAAATGTCACTTTTAGTCGATCTGAACACTGAATGTTTATCTGTAATTCTACCTCATTTCTAATCATCTGGTGTCTGTTTAAACTTTAAAGCATGTATCTGCTCTCTCTGTTTGTGTTGCAGTAAGCGACAGCTGCTTTCACAATCACACTGAGGACCGCAGCGGGATCAACCTCAAAGATCTCGTGCACGACCCTTCCTTGTGAGTGACCGTCACAAAATGCACACACATTTTACTCTTAATAGATGTCCCTTGGTGCTTTTTGAGTTATTTAATGATGTGTTGCACTGTATCATGCTGCATGACTTCAGTGGCCTGTTAGCTTCAGCGCTCATGTAATGAGACGTTCACGTCATGCTAATCACTGAACGCTTGTCAGGAGTTCAGGATGTTTAACAGCGGCCTGCAGTTTTACATGCGAAACATGTGGTCGCATTGAACCCTTGATGGATATTAATGTCAGAAGGACTCACTGTCACGGTCACACTGCGCGGTCTTTGCTCATGTCGTTGTACGTGAATGAAATGTGTGTGAAGCATATCAAACAGTTTAACCACGTCTCCACACTAATGCATACAGAAAATCACTTGATTTTATCATACTTTACATTTGCAAATTTACTAGCAGTTTCTGAGTGAAATTTGTTTTAATATAAATCCTTTTTTCAGTGTACAGCATTAAACTCTATAAACATGTGAATGATGCAGAATATGGACTCAATTTAATCCATCACAGTTTGACTGGATTGTAAAAGAAAAACAGTCTATGATATTATTCGTGAATATTTATTTTTGTATTATTCCTGTTGCATCAGCAGAAAACACTTGTGTTTTTTTCTTTAGCGTAATCTATGCTGATCATATTCAACAGGACCAGCAACATTTATTAAAGGATATTTTACACAAATATAAGGATTCATGTTGTTTTAAACCCATGTGACTTTGTTCTACAGAAAATAATTGCTCAAACATGGTTTGGTGCAATCATTGTTAATGACATCTGATCGGCCATCCCGGGTGCCACCCCAATAATTAATATGTTATTATTTCATGTTCTTTGTTTAATCGTACTGAAAGAAGCGTTTATTTTAGCCTTGAACGCAAGGATGCGAGGCATCTGGTGTTCCTCATCACACTTCATCGCATCTATTTCAAGCCTCTGAAAACATCGCAGATGTAGCAGAGAGGCCACAGACAGTGAGCTGACAGACACAACAGAGCAGGTCACTTCTGATAATAGGAAACAAAGTCTCAGCATTCAAATTATGTTAGAATTTCAAACGATAAATACAGTTTTGGAGCTCTTTATTGGCGTGACAGTTCACATGTGCTCCCGCATTGCCTCAGTTCAAGCGAAGCAGGAGTGCATTATATAATTAGCATGAAATAAACATCGAATGCACATCCGATCCATTTTAAAAGATACACTACAACTTATTGTATAGTGTCTCATGTAATCACGCAATGAGTTAAGACAGCAGCTATAAAACATTGTCACATAACTGCAGAAATTCCATTCAGTGTCCAAGTAGCGAGAAAAATGTACACTAGAGAGTAGAAGTTTGCAAAAATTATGTTTTTTTATACAATATATACTCATATAATTGCTCTTTTTATTATAATTAATAATATAAAGATATAATATTATTATAAAAAAAATGGTATAATACTTGTATACAAATTAGTTGTTACTTTTAACCTCAACAATAGGGTTCCCTGTATAATTTATTTTAGAAAAATTTAGGGGAAAAAACATACTTAATTGCAAGCTTGTTAATTATTCCTGAATAATTCTCACTCCAGGCTGAACTCAAAAATTGTCAGCCCTGTTTGAACTAAGTTGAAGTTTTAGGTTTCCTGAACAGCATTTACAAAATTCACTGTAGCCTGCAAGGTAATCTTTTGCTCCAACCACTGGTTAAATAAAATAAATAAGTTAAGGCTGATGATACAAGGGGCAACTTTTTGAGCAATCAGGTGAGGCACAGGGCCCACGACCGATCAAAATTTTCCAGATAGAAATGTGTTACCTATCCTTAATGGGAAAGTGCCCAAGCAAAATTGCTCCAAAAGTTGTCTCGTGTATCATCATCCTAACATTTGAAGTTACGGTATGTTTAACTTATGTGGGGTAATGTGAAGTATGCAATCATAGGATTTATTCATGCTTTTTTATGCCAGGTTGGGGTAATACACTGATATGGACCCCCTGAATTAGTCTTGGCCACCCCATCTATAAAACTCTAGCTCCACCACTGTGCACAATAGGACCAGAGACGTTTATTGAACGAATATCTTCATGACTATGACTTTATTCTATTGACAGAAATCTCATCCTCATAGGTGCAAAAGTTCTTTGAGTTTGATGCATTTGGGTGAATCTTATTTTTCACCCCAAATCAATAAAAAACAATTAAAAATGAATAAAGAAAGAAAGAAAGAAAATAAAATGAAAATGAATTTTTTTAAGAGCAAACATTACAATTAAGCAAACTTTTTAATGTAAAATTTTCTAAATAAATTTTTTTGCTTATTTATGAAATGTTAAATTGCTCAAACATGGTAGCATTATAACTGGTTAATATGCACAATAGAACCAGACACATTAATTAAAGAAATATACCCAAAAATGAGGATTCATGTCGATTTAAACCTGTGTGACTTCTATGTAAAAAAAAGTAGTTCATATGATTTCAGCACCATTTAATGTCTTCTGAAGTCATACTGTCTGATGCTTTTGTGCGAGGAACAGGGAAATGTAAGTCCTCGCTGTTTGGAATAGTGCACAAGCCATAAGGATTACCTATATCATACTTCCCTATCTGTCGGTCACTACGAGTTATGTCGTGACTCGACATTATGGGATCTTACTTGGGAGCCTGAATCCTCTCTGATTAAGAGGAAATGCCAATGATATTTGGCTAGTGGATTTTCCATACCTGAGCCATTCCCCGTGCATATGGGTATAAATAGGTGACAGGTGCATCCACTCATCAGATTTGTGTTTCAGAGCCAAGTGAATGAACACAGTTCGAGATTCACCAGGCGAATTTTCTCTGCTGCTGAAAGAAGAGGCTGTTCTGGGTGGCGTTACAGCACTATCAGCGGCGTCCCTGTTAATTTAGAGATTCCCCTGGGTGCTTCATCGAAAAGAGCAGTTTCTGATCGTGGACAGCTCGTGTCTTTTTAAAGACGCTGTTCCGTCCATGTCCTCTTGGTTGCGGTCGTTTCCTATCCTCTGTCGACAGCCACGATCGTTGTCTTCAGTGTCTGGGCATCCAGCTTGCTGAAGCTGCGTTCGTGGATGGTTTATGCGTTCACTGTGAGCGTATAACCATGGCAGCGCTGCGATCTCGCCTCTCTCTTCTCATGGGGATGGGAGGGGCTCCCTCTGTCACTACCCGTGCTGGCTTCTCTGCCACGAGCAGGGAACCATCGGCCAGTGCTCTGAGCGATCTGAGGGCTACAGTGAGAGCCTCTCCGCCGGGCCAGTCCCTGTGAACCTCTCACTCCTCCTGCAGCAGCTGTTCTGTGCGGCTCCCCGGTGATTCTACTGTGCCGTCTGACGGCGTGCCCAGCGTTTCATTCGGCACACCGATAGAGGATCAGATGTCGATAGCAGCATCGGGGGATGGGCTTATCGTCCTCCAATGATGAAGACCCCCTCGGGTGTTGTCGCCACCGCCGAATCGAACCCAGAGTTGACGGCCATGCTTTCCCGGGCCGCCGTGAGCATCGGGCTGGAGGCGTGCGCACTTCCCAGTCCCGAGCCCTCAAGGCGGGATGATTGGTTCCTCGGCATGGGCCGTAACTCGCGACCACAACCTGCCCTGGTTCCTTTCTTCCCAGACGTGCATGAGGAGCTGATTAAGTCGTGGATGACCCCTTTTTCGTCCGGAAGCCGCTCGTCTGCCTCCTCCATCCTCACTACCCTCGTTGGCGGGGCGGCTAGGGGGTATGTTGACATTCCCCAGGTGGAGAGTGCGGTTGCGGTGCACCTGTGCCTGCAAAACGACACCACTTGGAGGAATCGTCCTCGTCTCCCATCCAAAGCCTGTAAGCTGACGGCGGCTCTCACAGCCAAAGCTTGCAGTCCTGTGGGCCAAGCCGCCTCTGCCCTGCTTGCCATGGCTATCCTGCAAGTACACCAAGCCAAGGCACTAAAATGAATGCAGGAGGGTTGTACTGACCCAAGGTTGATGCAAGATCTGCACTCAGCGAATGACTTTGCCCCCCGGGCAATGAAAGTCACAGTGCGGTCCCTCGGGAAGGCGATGTCCACGTTAGTGGACAATGACGCAGCCTTGTGGAGATGAGTGACGTCGACAGTGCACTTTCTGGACACTCCCATCTCCCAGGCTGGTTTATTCACTCACTCTCACCCACAACGCCCCCTATCACCAGCGGCCAAGACATTGCAGTTCGGGGACGCAATGCCTTCCCATGCATCTCTGGCTGGTCCCACTGGGGACACGAGGAGTCCTGCCATGACGAGCCAGAACGCAGTGCTTTCTGGGCCATCTGGCACGACTTCCCACGGCTACACCACTGTGGGTATGTCGATTGTCCCTTTGGTGCCACTTACATGGAGTTTGGGAGCGTGGCTCGCGCTGCCCAACCCATCCCGCTGGCTCATTCGGACAGTCTGATTCGCTTAAATGGTTTAGTTCACCAGGCGACCCCCCCTCCCCAGGTTAAGCGGTGTCCTCAAGACTTTGGTGGCAGTCCGAGAGGCCCTGTCCTGTGCGAGGATATTGCTGTCCTATTGGCGAAGGATACAATTGAGCCTGTCCCTCCAGTCGAGATGGTGTTGGGGTTTACAGCCCTTACTTCATCGTGCCCAACAAAGACGGTGGCCTTCGGCTAGTCCTGGACCTGCGTGTCTTGAATCGGGCCCTTCACAAGCTTCCGTTCAAGATGTTCACGCAGAAGTACATCATCAGATGCATTCAACCCCAGGACTGGTTTGCAGCGGTCAACCTGAAGGACGTTGACTTTCATGTCTCGATTCTTCCTCAACACAGGCCGTTCCTACGGTTTGCGTTCAAGGGTCGGGCATCGCTGTCTGGGTCCTCCCCTTCGGGCTTTCCCTGTCCCCCCCCATGTCTTCACAAAAGTAACGGAGGGCTCCCTTGCCCTGTTACGGGAAGTGGGCATCAGGATCCACAACTATCTCGAGCATGGCCTGCTTGTGAGAATAGT